CAAGTACCGAGGAAAACCCAGACGCGCACCTGTCGGAGATCCCACTTCCCCTCTTGGACAGCCTTGTGCCAGAGGCGCTCTCCAGAAGCCAGGGGTTTGGGGTTTAGGGCTTAGGGTTGAGGGCTTAGGGTTTAGGGTTCAGGGTTTAGGGTTCAGGGTCTTGGGCACTTTGGAGTTGGAGTTTAGGAGTTAGGGTTGAGGGTTTAGGAAGCTTTTTTGCTTTCTCTCGTTTACAAGCCAGCCCTATCTAATTCCGATGAAACCCTGAAGCCAAAAACAATCAACCCTAACCCCCGCACCCCCACTCCATAGACGCCTGAAACCCCAAACCCCTACAAACTGAAAGCACTAAAGCCCTAATAGCAAAAAGGTTAACACCACCTGGAAGACCCCAAAACTCCAGCACCCCATAAATAAAGACACAAGCCTAAACCCTGAATCTACGGAAACCCGAAGCCCTAAACCCGAAACCCTAAACTCTACACCCTACACTCAAACCCCACACACAAGGTGCGGACCTTGGCCGCGGCCCGCGAGAAGGAGCGCGGCGCCCGCACCAGGGGCCCGTAGGCCTGGGGAGGCCCTAAAATACATAGGTGCCTGAGTAGAATACGGGGTTTTGGGTTTAGGGTTCAGGGTTCAGGGTCCATGCAGGGTTCAGGTTTTAGGAACAGGGCTTTTTTGGGGAAAAAACTTTAGTATAATTACAAAGGGGCCAGAGGGCAATATTGTTAGTAACTATTCCGACCCCTATATTAAAAGCTTCCACAGCAACCGAATTGAAAGGAAAGGGCTCAGGGCTTATAGCATAGAGCTTGGTGACCGAAGCCACATGGTTCCCCGGACACCTAGGAGATCAAAAAGGCTTGGGGGGGTTTTGAGCAACATCCCAATTTGTTTATAGAGGTTTACAAGGAGTCCGGGCTCCGGAGCCTCTTCAAACCAGTCATGAAGAGGCAGATGCGTAGAAGACGTTGTCAAAAAAGACTGCGCAAACCCTGAAACCATAAGGCCCTAGACCCTAAACCCTCAACCCCAAACCCTCAACCCTCAACCCCAAACCCTAAACCCTAAACCCCAAACCCTAAACCCTCAACCCTAAACCCCAAGCTTCGGAACCAACAGAAGCCGCCAAAAAGACCGCCATGGGGGGCCAAGCTGACGGAGCCTCGGACGCCAGAACCTGGACAACCGGGCTTTAAGGGCCCCTAAACCCTAAACCCTAAACCCTAAACCCCAAACCCCAACAACCGGGCTTTAAGGGTTTAGAGTTTCTAGGGTTTAGGGTTTTAGGGTTTTAGGGTTTTAGGGTTTTAGGGTTTTAGGGTTTTAGGGTTTTAGGGTTTTAGGGTTTTAGGGTTTTAGGGTTTTAGGGTTTTAGGGTTTCTAGGGTTTAGGGTTTTAGGGTTTAGGGTTTTAGGGTTTTAGGGTTTTAGGGTTTTAGGGTTTCTAGGGTTTCTAGGGTTTCTAGGGTTTCTAGGGTTTTAGGGTTTAGAGTTTCTAGGGTTTAGAGTTTCTGGAGTTTCTAGTGTTTTAGGGTTTTAGGGTTTTAGGGTTTTAGGGTTTTAGGGTTTTAGGGTTTTAGGGTTTTAGGGCTTTGGGCTTTAGGGCTTTGGGGCTTTGGGGTTTCTAGGGTTTAGGGTTTTAGGGTTTAGAGTTTCTAGGGTTTAGACTAGTGTTTTAGGGTTTTAGGGCTTTAGGGTTTTAGGGTTTTAGGGTTTCTAGGGTTTCTAGGGTTTCTAGGGTTTCTAGGGTTTAGCGGTTTAGGGTTTTAGGGTTTTAGGGTTTTAGGGTTTTGGGGTTTTAGGGTTTTAGGGTTTAGGGTTTTAGGGTTTTAGGGTTTTGGGGTTTTGGGGTTTTAGGGTTTTGGGGTTTTAGGGTTTTAGGGTTTTAGGGTTTTGGGGTTTAGGGTTTGGGGGTTTTAGGGTTTCTTGGGGTTGCGGGAGTAGGGAGTTTAGGGATTTGGGTTCGGGGATTGGAGTTGAGGGTTGGGCTTCAGAAGTTTTGGGCTTCAGGGATTGTAAATTTCAGGGTTTAGGAATTAGGGTCGTTTCAAGCAGGGGCCTTCATAAACACGTTCACCGTAAACAAAGCGTGCAGTGCTCCAAATCATGTTTTCGGTTACCTCAAATAGGATCCCCCTCCATATTATCATCCCTGTTTTGCATAACCCCCCAATGTCCCTGATAAGAACTGAGACTTTCGGCTCATGTTCGAGCTTTTGTTGACCTGTAGAGTGCAGCTGTTTTGGCGGGGCAACGTGTCTTCCGTGCTTGGGCTTGGAGATGCAATAGCTGGCCGTCAGTGCGGAGGCGGGGACGCCACAAGCGTTCTGGCTGTGCCCCGCAGTAGCCTCCTACCGCTGACTCTAAGCATCAACAATATGAGCCAAATGGCTCACAAACATGATGAAGAAAGAACAGCTCGGTCGGTCTAGTCAACCCCTGCCCCTGAAGTGCCCCAAAACCTGAATCCCAAAACCCTAAACCCTAAACCCTAAACCCCCCCAAACCCCGGAGCCTCCTTGAAGGGCTTCGTGGCCAAGGACTTCAGCGTCGTCAGCAGCGTGCCCGGCGGGAGTTCTGAGCTCGGAGGGTGGCGTTTGAGGGTGTTTTTAAGGCAGTTTCAGGGTTTAGGGTTTAGGGTTCTTCAGGCTTGAGTAGTTTGTAAGGGCTTGGAGGTAGAAAACGCTGGAACCCCAACCAAAAACAGCACCCAAACCACAACCGAAAAATAGAGCAAAAAGCCTACACCCCGACCAAGAAAAGGCGCCGCCGCGGCCAACACCCCAATCTACTATAGAAATTCAAAATGAGGAACACCCCCGCAAGAAAAAATAAAAAAATATAAAAATAAGTACGTAGTAAAATAAAAGGATGTTTTACAGAGGAAGATCGAGAGGCCCCCGAATCCTGAGGGGGCGCTGGGAGGCCACCTAGTCTCTGTTTAGGAGTTTAGGGTTTTGGGGCTGAGAATTAGGGGGTTAGGGTTCAGGGCTTGGGGCTTGGATTTCGGTGTTTTAGGGATTTTAGGGCTTTTGTGGCACCCCAAAACGCAGGATTTTAGGCCAATGGACGACCCAAAACTGCGACACAGCCCTTGGGACTCCATCAACCCCCGAAACCCGAAACCCCCCGGTAACCAACCCCCCCGAAGCTCTGAACTCCAGATCCTCGAAGTCACTGAAACCCCCACCTTGCAAGTGCGGGAGCACGTGCTGGAGGATCCGGGGAGTGATCCGCTCGAAGGATGGCCACTGGCAGAGAGTGATAGGGTTTAGGGCTTAGGGTTTAGGGTTTGGGGTTTGGGGTTTAGGGTCTAGGTCCCTTTACGTGGGAACCAGAAGGTAGGACTACAAAAGCTGCCTATGAGCACTTGGATCCACTAGGGCACAGCCCGGCATCTGTGCAACCCTCAGCCCCAAGACCCAACAATCCTGAACCCGACAACCCTCCGTTGAAAACAGCTACGTTCGGGAAGACCCTAAAGCTCTAAGCCCGAGACCTCCTACCTCCCCCCCAGGCCTTGAAAATACAACTAAAGCCCGTGCTCTGATCCCCTCCGCTGCAGGAACCCTTTAAACCAGGAACCCTTTTAAACCCTGAAGCCTGAACCCTAAACCCTAAGCCCTTTACCCTTTAAACCTTGAACCCTAAACCCCCTGTGCGTTGCACCGACAGGGCTCTGGGCCTCCCCTGTCCCGTACCCTTTCAACGTAGACTGTAAAAACTCTGAAACCCAATAAAACACTAAACCATAACAACCCTAAGCCCTGCACCTGCAACCCTGACTCTTGGGGGAGGGGGGGGGGGGTTGGGACACTGCCCCGTGCATCGGGAATACCTGGTACCCACACGGCCCAGAACCTCCAAATCAATCGTATAGAGAGGGCACTGTGGGACTTTTGGGATGCGGATGAGAGAGAGAGATAGAGATAGACAGAGAGATAGAAAGAGAGATGAAAAAAAAAGGAGAGAGAGAAAAAAGGGAGAGAAAGAGAGAGTAAGAAGAGAGAGAGGGAGAGAAAGAGAGAGAGAGAGAGAAAGAAAACAACCATGTGCAATTCTGGTTTAGGGTTTAGCGCTTACGGTCCCCCAAACCCTCAACACAGATGAACCTGAAACAACTCAAGATTCTGGGGACCTCGTCCAGTGGTCGTATGGCCCAGAGCATCTCAGCCCACTGCTCCGGCCTTACGGGACACCCTAAACCTAAACCCCTAAGGTTACTTGAAGCTTCAGGCATGGGTACAGTGTGTAGGGTTGGACACGTGCTTTGGACAGGGCCAGAACAAGACTTAAAGCTCTTAGAACCCCTGCTTCTTGTGAGGCCGCTTTTCGGGGGCGCCCGTGTGCTCTTGAAGCGTGTTGCTGCTTCAGGGTCTTCGAGGCTCGGGAGTGTCATTCAGGCTTCAAGAAGGCTTTGGAATTCAGGGTCTCTCTGAGTAAGTACCAAGGGCTTCAGGGTTTAGCGTCTTTGGTTTTGGGTTTTGGGTTTGGGGCCGCTCTTGGGGAATGGGAGCTGACGTCAGATGTGAAGAAGTTTCGTGCGGCAGAAGTCCGCCCTAGCAGCCCCCATCGACCGTCGACAACAGCACAAGCACCCCGAGTAGGGTTCAGGGTTCATTAAGTTCAGGGCATAGAAGCTCAGGCTTGGAGGAGTCTCTCTCTTGAGCCTCCCCACGGTTAGCTCAGACTCCTTCAAAAAAGCCAGAAGAAAGCGCACCAAACTCAGGAAAAAACAAAGTAATGGAAACATGCTGCATCGCCCTGGACCCTAAACCCTAAACCCCTAAACCCTAAAACTTAAAACCCTGAACCCTCAACCGTAAACTCTAAACTTTTTAGGGTTTAGGGTTTAGGGTTTAGGGTTTAGGGTTTAGGGTTTAGGGTTTAGGGTTTAGGGTTTAGGGTTTAGGGTTTAGGGTTTAGGGTTGCCCTAAACCCTAAACCCTGACGAAACCCTTCTTGAGCGAGAAGCTGCACCACGTGCTCACCCATCTCCTCACGGTCTAAGAAGGAGCTGACCAGCCGCAGAGGTAGCTCCTGTCATGCGGCTTAGGATCTGTGAGGGTTTCAGGGTTGAGGGTTTGGGGTTTAGGGTTTAGGGTCTTGGGTTGAGGGTTTAGGGTTGAACCTTTTCTTGTTTTTTTCTCTCTCTTACATATATATATATATACATATGTATATATATATATATATATAATGTACCCCTAAACCCTGAACCGTAACTCCTGACCCTAGACCCTAAACCCTGAACCCCAAACCTACATATGATTTTGTTGCTAATCTTTTGTTTAACTATTTATACCTATGCTTATACTTGTTTGTATTTTTCATAGCAGACTCGGACTCGGCGTCAGAAAGCTCCCAAAGCAAACCCTAAACCGCTCAACCCCTTGCGTTCAGGGCTCAGGGCTCAGTGCTCAGTGCTCACGGTTCAGGGTGCAGGGTTCAGGGTTCAGGGTTCAGGGTTTAGGGTTTAGGGTTTAGGATTTGGGGTTTAGGGTTCAGAGGATCCTTGGGGATCGGGAAGCTGCAGATGGCGGACAGCACGGCCACAAAGTAGCTGGTGGGCAGCGGCTTGACCGCCTGCGGTTCTAAACCCTAAACCCTAAACCCTAAGCCCTAAGTCCTAAGAGCTAAACCCTAAACCGCTTTGAGGGTGTCCAGAGCTTTGGGGGGCTATAGGCTTTAGAGCTCGAGGGGTTTGCTTTGCAGGGTTCGGGGTAAAAAACACCCAAGAGGCTCCAACAGAAAAAGCGACGGCTTTTGGGGGTGTTTAAGGTGCGACGCACCCTTCGCTTCTCAGGCAGAGGTGTCTTGGAGAGTGGGCATGGCTCGTTTTTGTATCCCGCGCTCTGTGTCTTGTTCTGTGGCTTCTTCTGCATCTGCCCCTAAACCCCTAAATGCTTAACACCCAAGCCCTGTAGCCCTGAGGCCGCACAGTGCCTAAAACCAAAAACCCTTTCCTGCCCCAATCCCCAGCGCCTGAACTCGAAACCCGTGTAACCCCAACAAGCCTGGCGACCCTGCAAACCCCTAAAATCCGCCCAAAACCCTAAACCCTAAACGCCCCAAACACCCCAAAGCTGGCCTCTGGGTTCGAAACCCTCTGAACCTAAACCCGAGAAGACCCACAACACAAGCCTCACAACCCTAGAACCCCCAACCCACCCCCCCCCCCCACCCCCCCAAAGTCCGCCCCAGGAAACCCAAAGCCGGCCTCTGGGTTCGACAGCAGGCTCCGGAGCACCTCCTCCACCTCGCGCCTCGCACAGCGAGGCTGGCCCGATCAGCCCCCAAGAGGGCCGGTCAACCCTAAACCCTAAATCGTAAACCCTAAACCCTAAACCCTAAACCCTAAACCCTAAACCCTAAACCCTAAACCCTAAACCCTAAACCCTAAACCCTATACCCTATACCCTATAAACCCTAACCCTAAACCCTAAACCCTAAACCCCAAACCCTAAGCCCTAAACTCTAGGATAATTGGGATTCTTGGGGCGAATGTTCTAAACCCTGAACGTCACGGATGTTTTGGGAAGGCCTTACCCTCCAGGTGGGGGGGGATACCAGAGCTCTCCAGGAGGCGAAAAGGGTTCCCCTTTAAGAACCGGAAAGAGCGCTTTATGGGGTTTATACGGAACCAACCCTCCCCAAAAAAAAAATGAAGAAGCATCCTACTGCTCTAAAGGGCGGTTCTCTAAACTACGGTCCTTTTTAGGGGGGGGTACTATACATGGCCCCGTGTTGTACAAAGAACCTGCCAGAAAAGGAACATGATCTAGGGTTTAGGGTTTAAGGGTTTAGGGTTTAGAGTTTAGGGTTTAGGGTTTAGAGTTTAGAGTTTAGGGTTAGGGTTTAGAGTTTAGGGTTGACCCGGTTGAGCCCCCAAACCCAACTCCATGAGCTTCCAGACGACGCACTCAGCGATTGGAAGCTAAGTTCCGCTCCGGTGCCTGCCGGGGGACTTCCGGGCAGTTTGGGCCTTTACAGGGTTCAGGGCTTGGGGTCTAGACTGTGGGGTTTGCTTCAAGGAACTAATTATGGGGATCGCTCCTAGACCCTATTTTCTTAGTAGGGTTGGGCTGCTGAGTTTGGGTTACCGGGGTGGAGAGGAGTTCTCGGGCTTGGTGCTTGTAAGGTTGCACGTGTCCCTGCAGTGCCTTGGGGAGAGCGGGTTTGGGGTTGAGGGTTCATGATTCAAGCTCTGGGGCTCTGGGGACCCTAAACCCTAAACCCTAATTCTAGACCCTAAACCCTAAACCCTAAACCCTAATTCTAGACCCTAAACCCTAAACCCTAAACCCTAAACCCTAAACCCTAAACCCTAAACCCTAAACCCTAGCGCCCCAGATCTCTTGTGCATGCAGGGTTCGGCTCCAGGGGCAAAATCTGAACCTCCAAAGCGCCCCCCCCCCCCCCCCCCCCCCCCCCCCAAAAATCGGCGAGCAGATGCCCTGCCGCAGGCTCCAAAAATCCCACCGAGACCCTAAAGGGGTTTTATGGTTCTATAGGGTTTTTGGGGTTTTATAGGGTTTTATAGGGTTTTGTAGGGTTGTGTAGGGCTTTTTAGGGCTTTTGGAAGGAAAGAACCCTAAACCCTGAACCTGAAGCCATCGGCCGAGGTGCCAAATGTCCATGGTGCGGCAGAGCCGGAGCAGCAAGAAGTGGGAGAGCTCTATTTGCTTTCCCCTCCTGCCGCGTTTGCTGCACCATCTAAGGCTTGAAGATGTGGCTCCTAAAATAAGCCCTTGGCCTTTGTTGGTGAGACTCTAGGAACCCTTGCAGGTATATGTGGTTCCGTGTGGCCGTGTCAGCAGCGCCCGCAATGGAATCCCCCCCACCCAAAAAAAAAGCCCAAAACCCTCACGCAAAGCCTAAACCCTATACCGTAAACCCTAAAACCCTCAGCTCTAAACACAGAACCTAAAAAGCCTAAACCCTAAAACCTGCAACCCTCAACAACCCTGAAAACCTTTCAAAACCCTACGCAACAACAACCACGAAAACTTGACAACCCTAATCCCCTAAAACCATAAAACCCCCAAACCCTACAAGCCCTAAACAGCCCTAAACAGCCCTAAACCCAAGCCCTAAACGCTAAAACCCTTAATCCTACCCCCCGGGGGATACCTCGGTGGAGGAGGAGGGGGCAACACTGCACATATATGGCGATTGCTTGACTAAAACTGATTAACTAACTACTGCAGGTATAAAGGTTCAGAGCTTTGTAGGTTGTCAGGGTGCAGACACCCAACCCCAGTTCGCCCAAAATGCAACTAAACTGGCACGTTGTCCCCTTACGTGGATAGCTTAGTGCCCCTAAGATGGTCGCTGACAAGGGGTTTAGGGGTTAGGGTCCAGGGAAATTGTGGACAACAAAGCAGCTGAGAATCAGGGATCTGTACGGGAATCTTAGTGTCGAACAACGCCCCAAGTAAGCCCAACGAAAACCGAGTTGACAAACTCTACACCTAAGCCCAAACAAAATCCTGACCCAAACTACTCTCCCTTGCTTCGAATGCCCAGAGCCCGAAGCCCAAAGCCCTAAGCCCCAAGCCCTAAACCCTAAACCCGAAACCCAAAACCCTAAACCCTACGAGGACTACGGCGACGACTCCGACTGGCCAGGGCGGCAGCTTCCCCGTGGGCTCCAGCCGTCGATCCGTCTCCGCCTTTTCGGCTTTGAGGGTTTGGGGTTTAGGATTTAGGGTTTAGGGTTTAGGGTTTAGGGTTTAGGGTTTGTCTTCAGCCTCTGGTCTTACGCATGTCCTCGATATGAGATTACGGAGATCAACAAACCATGAAGGTGTCCAAACTGCAAAGCACATCAAGGTATCAAAATCACAAAAACGCACGTCGAAAACGAAGCCTTCCGGGAATTGTGTGGTGCCCCATGTTGTTCCAGGGGACGACCCTTGGTAGTAAAAACCGAGGGGCTAGTGCCAGAACGGCTGGAAACCACAGACTAAAGCGGGGATCCTTAGAGGCAGAAAGCGGCCACAGCTTTTGGGCCCAGACTTTCGGGCGCCCCTGAGCCACGCCGGGCGATCAAACCTACTACTTCGGAAGTCTTGATGAGTGAAGTGTTTCTGAGGTTACAAAAACCGGGGCGAGCATCAAGAGCACCACAGGCTCGGGCCCGGGTCTTGGGAATAGGGTTTAGGGTTTCGGGTTTAGGGTTGAGGGTTGAGGGTTTAGGGTTTAGGGTTCAGGGTTTAGGGTTTCGGGTTTAGGGTTTAGGGTTTAGGGTTTAGGGTTTAGGCTTTTTCGCCTGTTTGGGAGGCTCCATTGTTCGAGCACCCTGTATCGCCCCCCCAAGTGAAGGCGTCCATGAGCTGAGGCGCCCACTCGGGAACCTTGATGCTTGGCGCCCGGCTTCTGAGAAATATATGGGGGTTTACGAAAGTAGGGGACCCCAATAGAGGCCCCAAAAGCGAAGGATCCCCCCTGTAGTAAGGAGCCCAATGAAGGTACCCCTAATTTCGGAAACCCCTATATCTGCAACTCGCATCAAGACTGGCTGTAGGGTTGCAGGGCCACTGCTTGGTACCCTTGCAAAAATTTGAGCTGTTCCTTGGGGGTTTTTGGAACCAAAAACTAAGAATTGCTTCCAAGTACCCTAAGATTACCTCCCACAAGTAGCCACAAAGCTCAAGCGCTGGGCCCGCGGCAAGGATGGTGCTCAGGGGCCAGCCAGTCCCCATGCCGGCCTGCCCCATGCTGAACCCGAAACTCCTGAAGCCCCAACACCCCCAAACCCCTGAACCCCTGAAGCCCTAAAACCCCTCAAGCCCTAACCCCCAAAGCCTAACCCCTAAAGCCTACACCCTAAACCCTAAACCCCAAACCCTAAACCCTAAACCCTCAACCCTCAACCCTAAACCCTAAACCCTAAACCCTAAACCCTAAACCCTAAACCCTAAACCCTACCTCCCAAAAATGATCCGATCCCAAATTCTGCGCTCCTCGCGGAAGCCGCAGGCGAGCTCGAG